CTGGAAAATACAATATTTATGGTTATTGAAAACATATTTCACAGCAGTTTAGATGGTACAATGATTCTCTCCACTATACATTGCTTTTTTTGTCACATGAACTGAAATTAGGCGAACTATTAGAATTTTAGCAACCAGGAAATGGCGGCGCTATTTCTGCATATTGCACCTTTTAATTGCCTTCAGTATTTAGTCCTTTTTGCTAAGATAGTTTCCTACTGACTAATGCATAGGTAGTGCCCCTGTTTACTGTAAAATACAAATAAATCAATGTTTAATATTCCATAATGAATAACCAAATTAATTAGACATGATCACATTACACAATTTCTCTATAATATATATATATATGAAAGGTCTATGTCAAGACGGTTAGATTGTACAGATCCCAAACAGCATACTTTTCCGTGGACGAATAAGTGTAATATCTGTTAATGGCAGAAAAACATTACATTTACATTTGAGTAATTTAACAGACACTCTTATCCACAGCTTCTTACAGTTAAGTGCATTCATCTTAAGATAGCTAGGTGGGACAACCACATATCACAGTCATAGCAAGTAAATTTTTCCTCAAAGTAGCTATCAGATCTTTGTAAGGGAAATAAATATACAGTGTGTATATATATATATATATATATATATATATATACAAATAAAAAAAACTTCACAACACATTCTAAATATGAAGTCTTATTATACACACATCTCAACACCTTTACCCATGTCATTTTCCTTAAGAAAATCTGAGTTTTTGAGGCACTTTGTGCAGTCTGTTCTACAATGGAGAAGTTCCTTGGCTGAGTTGGCTGAGTCGTAGTCATCGTCAATCTTCGTCAGAACCCTGCTGGGTCCATGTCTCCTGCAGGCCGTCTGATTACCATTTGGTTCAATCAGGCTGATTGTCCTATGCTGGAGGTGTGAAATGAGCAAAAGGAGGACCCTGCTGGGAACTTGCTGAGAGTGCCCCCCTCTTCCTGGCTTCTCTGGCTGTTGAAGAGGTCCATGTGTATTGTCATTGTTCTTGTCATCTGGTGTGTATGTTCGAAGTTGATGCTGCTCTACATATGTTACTTGACATGGGTCAATTGAGTGACTGTCAGTAACCACGTTTACATCCACAGTTTTTATGCGAGTAAAGTCATACCATATTTGAAAAAAATCCCGGTAGCTGTGATGGAAACAGGAAGTCTCGGTAGAATTTGATACAGTGCCTTCAGAAAGTGTTCATACTCCCTTGACTTATTCTACATTTTGTTGTGTTACAGCCTGAATTCGAAATTGATTAAATATATTTTTTTCTCTCACCCATCTACACACAATACCCAATAATGACAAAGTGAAAACATGTTTTTAGAAATGTAGGCACATTTATTGAAAATGGAATACAGAAGTATCTAATTTACATAAGTCATTTATGATTTAAAGTTCATTTTCTGCACATTTTGCCATGGTGCGTTGAGAAAATGTTGCAATTTTAAAGCAAGTTTGTTCTACTTCTACCCATTTTGCCATGGGGTGGAGAGATTGAGCAATTTTATAACGAATTTCATACAATTCTACTCATTTTGCCATGGGTTGGAGAGAAACATTTTCAGTTTTACAGCTAATTCCCTGCAATTCTACACACTTTGCCATAGGGTGGAGGCAAATGTTTGCAGTTTTTAATATGATAACTGATGATTAATGGACCCCACGCCGGTCGGTAATTCGACCATGCTTACTACAAGTTTAGATAGCTGGGTGCTAGACTAATTTACCAATCTAAAAATGTTTTTGCTGACATGGGCTAATTGAGTGACTGCTGATGTACAACCAAATTTAGAAATTGCACCTTGTGTATTCTAGTATTTTAACTCTCAACACTTCTTCAAACAAGCAGCTGTGAGCAAAGTCAGTGCAATCAGGGACAACTACATCTCGATCACAATAAGTACATTTCTTTAAACAGGTCAGTGCTAGCAGGTGAAATAAGTCAGGTGTTAGTTTAGACAAAAGACAGTGGTAGTAAAGGGGGGGGTAGAAGGATTACTATTATACTATTCCAGGTATTCCTTAAAGTGGTAGGGTTTCAAGTGTCTCCGGAAGGTGGTCAGTGACTCCGCTGTCCTGGCGTCGTGGGGGAGCTTGTTCCACCATTGGGGTGCCAGAGCAGCGAATAGCTTTGACTGGGCTGAGCGGGAACTGTGCTTCCGTAGAGGTAGTGGGGCTAGCAGGCCAGAGGTGGATGATCGTAGTGCCCTCGTTTGGGTGTAGGGTCTGATCAGAGCCTGAAGTTAAGGAGGTGCTGTTCCCCTCACAGCTCCGTAGGCAAGCACCATGGTTTTGTAGTAGATGCGAGCTTGTGTGGTGCGGAGGAGCGGGGTGACGTGAGAGAACTTGGGAAGGTTGAACACCAGACGGGCTGCAGCGTTCTGGATAAGTTGCAGGGGTTTAATGGCACAGGCAGGGAGCCCAGCCAACAGCGAGTTGCAGTAATCCAGACGGGAGATGACAAGTGCCTGGATTAGGACCTGTGCCGCTTTCTGTGTAAGGCAGGGTCGTACTCTGCGAATGTTGTAGAGCATGAACCTGCAGGATCGGGTCACCGCTTAGATGTTAGCGGAGAACAACAGGGTGTTGTCCAGGGTCACGCCAAGGTTCTTTGCACTCTGGGAGGAGGACACAATGGAGTTGTCAACCGTGATGGCGAGATCATGGGGCGGGCAGTCCTTCCCCGGGAGGAAGAGCAGCTCCGTCTTGCCGAGGTTCAGCTTGAGGTGGTGATCCGACATCCACACTGATATGTCTGCCAGACATGCAGAGATGTGATTTGCCACCTGGTTATCAGAAGGGGGAAAGGAGAAAATTAATTGTGTGTCGTCTGCGTAGCAATGATAGGAGAGACCATGTGAGGATATGACAGAGCCAAGTGACTTGGTGTATAGAGAGAATAGGAGAGGGCCTAGAACTGAGCCCTGGGGGACACCAGTGGTGAGGGCACGTGGTGCGGAGACAGATTCTCGCCACGCCACCTGGTAGGAGCGACCTGTCAGGTAGGACGCAATCAAAGAGTGAGCAGCGCCGGAGATGCCCAACTCGGAGAGGGTGGAGAGGAGGATCTGATGGTTCACTGTATCAAAGTCAGCAGATAGGTATAGAAGGATAAGAGCAGAGGAGAGAGAGTTAGCTTTGGCAGTGCAGAGAGCCTCCGTGACACAGAGAAGAGCAGTCTCAGTTGAATGACCAGTCTTGAAACCTGACTGGTTAGGATCAAGAAGGTCATTCTGAGAGAGATAGCAGGAGAGTTGGCTAGAGACGGCACGCTCAAGAGTTTTGGAGAGAAAAGAAAGAAGGGATACTGGTCTGTAGTTGTTGACATCGGAGGGATCGAGTGTAGGTTTTTTGAGGAGGGGTTCAACTCTCGCCCTCTTGAAGACGGAAGGGACATAGCCAGCGGTCAACGATGAGTTGATGAGCGAGGTGAGGTAAGGGAGAAGGTCTCCAGAAATGGTCTGGAGAAGAGAGGAGAGGATAGGGTCAAGCGGGCAGGTAGTTGGGCGGCCGGCCGTCACAAGTCGCAAGATTTCATCTGGAGAGAGAGGGGAGAAAGAAGTCAAAGCATAGGGTAGGGCAGTGTGAGCAGGACCAGCGGTGTCATTTGACTTAATAAATGAGGATTGGATGTCATCAACATTCTTTTCAAAATGGTTGACGAAGTCATCCACAGAGAGGGAGGAGGGAGGGGGAGGAGGAGGAGGATTCAGCAGGGAGGAGAAGGTGGCAAAGAGCTTCCTATGGTTAGAGGCAGAGGCTTGAAATGTAGAGTGGTAGAAAGTGGCTTTAGCAGCAGAAACAGAGGAAGAAAAAGTAGAGAGGAGGGAGTGAAAAGATGACAGGTCCGCAGGGAGTCTAGTTTTCCTCCATTTCCGCTCGGCTGCCCAGAGCCCTGTTCTGTGAGCTCGCAATGAGTCGTCAAGCTATGGAGCAGGAGAAGAGGACCGAGCCGGCCGGGAGGATAGGGGACATAGAGAGTCAAAAGATGCAGAAAGGGAGGAGAGGAGGGTCGAGGAGGCAGAATCAGGAGACCGGAGGGAGAAGGATTTAGCAGAGGGAAGAGATGATAGGATGGAAGAGGAGAGAGTAGCGGGAGAGAGCGAAGGTTGCGACGGCGCATTACCATCTGAGTAGGGGCAGAGTGAGTAGTGTTGGAGGAGAGCGAGAGAAAAGGATACAAAGTAGTGGTCGGAGACTTGGAGGGGAGTTGCAGTGAGATTAGTAGAAGAACAGCATCTAGTAAAGATGAGGTCAAGCGTATTGCCTGCCTTGTGAGTAGGGGGGGATGGTGAGAGGGTGAGATCAAAAGAGGAAAGGAGTGGAAAGAAGGAGGTAGAGAGAAATGAGTCGAAGGCAGACGTCGGCAGGTTAAAGTCACCCAGAACTGTGAGGGGTGAGCCATCCTCAGGAAAGGAACTTATCAAGGCATCAAGCTCATTGATGAACTCTCCAAGGGAGCCTCGAGGGCGATAAATGACAAGGATGTTAAGCTTGAATGTGCTAGTGACTGTGACAGCATGGAATTCAAATGAGGAGATAGACAGATGGGTCAGGGGAAAAAGAGAGAATGTCCACTTGGGAGAGATGAGGATTCTTGTGCCACCGCCACGCTGACCAGATGCTCTTGGGGTATGCGAAAACACATGATCAGACGAGGAAAGAGCAGTAGCAGTAGCAGTGTTTTCTGTGGTAATCCATGTTTCCGTCAGCGCCAAGAAGTCAAGAGACTGTTCAATAAGAAAATATAATCTCTTTATGCTTACTTTTGGAGACAAATAAAATATTGAATTCTCTGCAAGTCCCTATTTAATGTGGCCCGTCTGCTACACACTTTCTCTTACAAACACACAATCTTATACCCCACCGCTTACAACGCGTTCACACCCACACACACTCTCTCAAACAGACACACACACCAAAATAATCAAATAAAATAGTACAAAAAACTGGTGATGCATATTTGCTTAACAGATGCGATGTGGCCCAGCAAATCTAAGTAAGTCGTGCTCCTTTTCCAGTATCCCTTTGTCATCCTGTGCTGTCCCTGTTGTGATCCAGTCCATGGCTGTGTCCCAAATGGCCCCCTACCCCCTATATAGTACACTACTTTTGACCAAAGAGCTCTGGTAAAATGTAGTGCACTACATAGTAAATAGGGTGCCATTTGGGACACAGTCCTTGTCCTCGGTGTACACAGAACCCCCCACTCAGCATTGCTCGGCGTCTCGGATGCGACAGGCCACCGCCGTTATGAGAGCCGCCCCCTTCCCACTGCCATCCTCTGATTGGAGGAAAGTGACCTCGCACTGCGGCGCCAGGTCCCTGACAGTCTCATGCATGAGGCTGGAGAAGCTGTGAAGACGAGAGATAAGAAGAGAGATGAGAGGCAGGTTACAATATTCTTACTGAACATAGACAGACCAGAAGCTGCAGGGAATGCAGGGGAGTGAGCTCACATGGCCAGAGGCAAGAGAATGAGGCAAACACATAGGCAGATGCACATGTACACACAGCTACTGTAAAAAGATGATGAGAAAAGGCATTTGAGGCTAGACTTTAGGATTCCTAGATGCTTACAGCTGATTTCAACACTATATCACTACAATTAAATATATTAGGTTTTAAAATGAATAAAGAAACCACAAGTAACTTTTAAAATAACTATATTTTGTAGCCTACATTTTTTATTTTTTTTTTTACCTTTTGAGCATGTTAACATTTACACATAACTTCGAAATCAAAACCATGGAAACAGACAGCTTTGCAGAAAAAGTTAGATTAGGGGATCTCAATGTTTATCTTTTTGACGCCCACTAATTTTATTCATACATTCAGTCAGATAAAAAAAGAAAGAGAAACCTAAAGACTATAAAGTAAAACACTTCCACATGTCTAGTTACAGCACCTTCAGAAAGTATTCATACCCATTGACTTTTTCCACATTTTGTTATGTTACAGCCTGAATTCAAAATTGATTACATAGACATTTTCCCTCAACCACCTACACACAATACCTCATAATGACAAAGTACAAACATGTTTTTAGACATTTTTGCTAATTTATTGAAAATGAAATACAGAAATATCTCATTTACATAGGTATTCACACCCCTGAGTCAATACAGCTTAGAACCTTTGGCAGCGATTATAGCTTTGAGTCTTTCTGGGTAAGTCTAAGAGCTTTGCACACCTGGATTGTATAATATTTGCACAATCCTTTTAAAACTCTTCAAGCTCTGTCAAGTTGGTTGTTGATCATTGCTAGACAGCCATTTTCAAGTCTTGCCATAGATTTTCAAGCTGATTTAAGTCAAAACTGTAACTAGGCCACTCAGGAACATTCAATGTCATCTTGGTAAGCAACTCCACTTTATAACCTATTTGGCATTGTGTTTAAGGTTATTGTCCTGCTGAAATTGAAATGTGAATTTGTCTCCCAGTGTCTGTTGGAAAGCAGACAACCATGTTTTCCTCTAGGATTTTGCCTGTGCTTAGCTCTATTCCGTTTCTTTTTATCCCAAAATTTGCCCCAAACATAACGCTTTGTATTCAGGACATAAAGTGAATTTCTTTGCCACATTTTTTGCAGTTTTACTTCAGTGCCTTCCTTCAGGTCAATGACCCTAAGCATACTGCTAAAGCAACACTCGAGTGGTTTAAGGGGAAACATTTACATGTCTTGGAATGGCCTAGCCAAAGCCCAGACCTCAATCCAATTGAGAATATGTGGTATGACAAAGATTGCTGTACACCAGTGGAACCCATCCAACGAAGGAGCAGGAGCAGTTTTGCCTTGAAGAATGGGCAAAAATCCCAGTGGCTAGATGTGCCAAGCTTATAGAGACATACCCCAAGAGACTTGCAGCTGTAATTGCTGCAAAAGGTGGCTCTACAAAGTATTGACTTTGGGGGGGGGGGGGGGGGGTGAATAGTTATGCACGCTCAAGTTTTCTGTTTTTTTGTCTTATTTTTTTTTTTTACAACAAATAAATATTTTGCATCTTCAAAGTGGTAGGCATGTTGTGTAAATCAAATGATACAAACCCCCCAAAAACAATTTTAATTCCAGGTTGTAAGGCAACAAAAAAGGAAAAATGCCAAGGGGGGTGAATACTTTCATAAGCCACTGTAATTGTATGTGTGTGGCACAGAGATGAGGTAGTTATTGAAACAATCATGGTAAACACTATTATTAGTCCATGCAACTTATTATGTGACTTGTTAAGCACATTTTTACTCCTGAATTTATTTAGGCTTGCCATAACAAAGGGGTTGAATACTTATTGACTTAAAACATTTCAGCTTTTCATTTGTAATTAATTTGTAAAAAATTCTAAAAAAATTATTCCACTTTGACATTATGGGGTATTGTGTGTAGACCAGTGTCACAAAATCTTAAAATTTTAAATTCAGGCTGTAACACAACAAAATGTGGAAAAGGTCAAGGGGTGTGAATACTTTCTGAAGGCACTGTAAATGAGCAATTAACCTCTGGGCCTGTATTAAAAAGTATAGGAACAACAGTGCTGATCTAGGAGTAGGAGAGTACACCCATATAATCATATTCATTATGATCTAAAAGGCAAAACTGATCCTATATCAGCAGTCACACTCTGAGACACTTCATGAATACGGGCCCTGGAGTATAGCTTTAAGCTTTAACCTGACAGTATTATCACAAAAAGACAATCTAATAACCACTCACCGCAAACAGGATGCATGTTTTTAATCGTTCTTTTCACTCTGTAAATTAGGTTAGTATTGTGTAACATTGTTGATCCATCCTTAGTTACCTCCTATTACAGCCATTAAACTAACTGTTTTAAAGTAATTAGTGGCCTCATGGTGAAATCCAAAGTGTAATTAATAACTTAACCATGCTCAAAGGGATATTCAATGTCTGCTTTTTTCCTTTTTTTCCCCATTCACCAATAGGTGCCCTTCACTGCGAGGCATTGGAAAACCTCCCTGGTCTTTGTGGTTGAGTCTGTGTTTTGTGCTTTAAGCTTTAACCTGACAGTATTATCACAAAAAAACAACCACTCACTGTGGGTGTAGTTTGTAGAGTGTTCCGTCGACACCCACTGTGATTTTGAGCTCAGGGAGGTTGCGGTTCTGCCGGATCTTATCGACCACGGCGGCTAGGCCGGCACCACAGAGCTGGGCAGCGCGGCAAGCCACCACGCTACACACCTCCTTCACCAGGATGCTGTCGTCACACGTAGAGCTGGTCAGACCCAGGTGCTGCAGGATGGAGCGCACCTGCCTCAGGGCCAGACGGTCACTGACGGGGGGGGAGGGCACAGTTACAGACAACAGTCAAGTGAATATCCACAAGATCTATATCAAATCAACAAAGTGCACACAATGTTGTTCTCCATCCTATGCTAGACATATCGAAATCCAATAGCTTTGATACACAGAAAAAGGCATTCACACATTGCTTCCACCATGGCTGTCAACTTTTAATCAACCTTTTAATGAAACACTTTTCCAAACTTCCTCTTGCTCGTCATGCATCAACACTAGATATTGATTGAAGGTGTGGTTGCCACAAACATGACCAGACACTAGACACTGACTCACCTCTCGATCTGGGAGAGGAACTTGGTTTCAAAGATGCCTCTGGTCTTGAGCCTCTCAGAGAGTTTGCCTCGGAACAGCAGTCCCTTAGCAGTGAACTCCAGCAGTACGTTCCTCACTATCTCCCCAAGGTACATCCCACTGATCATCTTCTCATACCTGACAGAGAGAGAGAGAGAGACAGAGACACTTGATTCCTGTGGCTTACCCCTGGAAAACCACATATCAGGCTTTATGGTTTAAAGTGTTATTGCCCTGGTGTGTGTCTAGTAGTCCCCAGCCTCCAAATATACATCAATCAACTTGAACAAACAGTAAATAATACATCCAATACACTCACAAGAAGGAGATACGAGTTAGTAACTTTTTTCATTTGTTCAGTTCATCCTCTGTAAGTCAACACCTCAACTAAGGGTGTTCTTTCTTTATTATAAACTGGGTGGGTCGAGCCCTGAATACTGATTGGATGAAAGCCGTGGTATATTGGCCATACACCACACCCCCTCGGGCCTTATTGCTTTATTATAACACAACTGCAAATAAACAGTAACAGTCTACATCTGTTCGCCAGGGTTGGTGGATCGCTCGTCGACGGCTCTGTCGAAGTCTGTGCTGAAGTCGTCCAGCTCCCCGTGGTCCCCGAACGCCCCCCACTCCATGTTAACACACATCCTCCCCTCGTCCCCCTCCACCAGCTCCACGTTCTGCATCTCCTCCATGTAGCACACGTTGGTGCCAGTACCTGGAGAGAGGGGAAGTGAGTGAGTGAGTGAGTGAGGACACTCACTGAAATTAAAGGGAGGCCGTTTTTGATCTGTTACAGCCTGTGCTTGTGGCCCAGAAGGCACATCCAGAAGACTCTGAGACTCACCTACGATGAGGCCCACCTCACACAGTGGGTCCTCGTAACCACAGGTCATCATGGTGCCCACCGTATCATTCACCACGGCAACCACGTCCAGGTCAAACTCCTACAACAACATGAAGACGTACGGATCACTAACATGGAACCCTGTTCTATAACCAGAGGATTTCAGATTTCAGATTGGTGTACTTTAATATACATTTCCAAAAAGGCTACGGACGGTGTACTTTCATGGTATCATGTAAAATTTTTCAAGGATTTCAGATCCTACGGGTACTGTTTTGATTCTGGGCAGTGTAGGATTGTGAGAAAGCCCAGTGGGTTGGTGTGACCTCTGACCTCTCTGCGGTGGATAGCATCCTTCAGTAGAGTGACAACATCCTCCCCCTCGCAGCCAGTAGCTTTGAAACCCTTGGTCCATTTTAGCAAGATGCCCTGAGGAGGAGGAGAGGGAGGAGGAATGGACATCACATTAGGACAGGCATCTTTACCTGGTCCTGAGCAGAGTGTTGATTAGTCTATGCTATGTCAGGATCACAGGCTATAGGCACCTACAGTATGCATGAATAGACCATGTGCTGCTCTCCAACCACTCCTGTCAACACTTGTCCTTCCAAACTTTGCGATGGGAATGAACAGTCTAGTCTTCTCAACGTTTTGTCTGTGAGAGGTTCAGCAGTGTTTCAATCGATAAAGAAATGATTGAAATGCATTGCTTTTTGTGTATGTGTGGTGTGTGTGTGTTTGCTTTGTTACCTGGTCCAGTTTGCTCTGATGGCAGGGGAAGGAGAAGGTGAAGCCGAGGGGCAAGGACGCTCCTTTCATACCCATGTACTCCAGGAAGTCAGCGATGCAGTGCACTATGTGGTCAAACAGCTGACCGGGTGAGAGAGAATAGAGAGAGAGAGAGAATGAGAGAGAGGAAAGAGAGAAAGAGAAATAGAAAAGAGGGAGTGAGTGAGAAAGAGAGAAAAGATAGGTCAAATGACCAATGCAGTGGACTGGGACTGTGCTCTACCTATTAGGGTTGGGCGATATTATATATCTATCGATGATAATTGAAAGCCATCGTCGATGGTGACGACATCGTGATGTGACAGACGATGGTTTAGCCTATTTGAACTTGACTGGCGCTGCGCAGTAAACAATGGAGTAGGGCAGCGGACGGTAGGGCAGCGGAAGGCAGGGCAGCACACAAGTAATCTGCCCATTCCTATTTGCTTTAGCTTATTTCAATAAATAGCCTATGTTGTATAGTCCTACAGAATGCAAGAGAGGAATGTAGACTAGACAGAATTCCACCAAAGCAGCACAACATTTCCATTCAGAAAATATTATTTATCTTGCTCTCGCTCTGTCGGATGCATGAGCCTCATAGCCTAAACGTATACATTTTTTATAACGGACACTCCTTAACTATATTGTCTAGCTGTTAAAAAAAAACGTAGGCTATATTCCCTTGTCTCTCCATTCGATATAAATATGACTTTGGGCTAGGCTATGCTTTCATTGTTTTATGCATGCATGCTTTCTCTCCTGATCAAACAATGAATGACTCTAACGGCGTTCCATCTCAAAGTTGTTTGAATATCCTAAAATCTGATACTGAGAGAGAACAAACAATATCAATGGCCTATATAAAAATCGAATGAAAAGTTTAATCAAGTTCAAGCTGTTTAAGAAATAAATTATCAGTGCGGGGCGAAAAGATCCCTCCATGTGATGTTGAAATCCAAATGGCCAATAACCTATCCTCCTACGCCTATCATAAAAGTCTGAAAACAAATGAAAGTTATGAACAGTAGCCTATTTCCCTAATATTTGAATAGCCTAAGAAGGTACTGTTGTCCTACAGTCTTTCAAAAAGAACCAGAATGAAAGTCGGAGTCTATAGTCCTAAGCTTGTCATAGATTTATACGAGATAGAAGAAACAATAGCCAATTAACACTTTACACTTGTGGGAATTGGCCTATGTGGATTTGGCTAAATTGAAATGTTTCTTACAGAAGAAATATGAAATGCATCACCATGGTAGCCATTGAGAGGGAACAGTTTGGAGATTATACGAAAATGATCAGACCAAAGGTGAGTTCACAACAGTTCACCTGACAAGACTGAATCCAAACATTACACTGTTGACTTCATGTGTATTTTACATTTACTGTACTTTTCGCCGCATTTGTTGATAAATACTCTAGATACATTCAGTAACATGATAATAATATTCCTGGAAAATGTGGGGTAGGTGCAACATAAGAAAATATTTTTACAAGGGTTTGAGTGAGAGGACTAACTAGTGTCTCCAAGTGGCCACACACCTCTCCAAAGTGTGCACAGTTCCTAAGTAATTTCATTGTACTTTTATGACTCAAAAAAGAGTCTTCAACTATAAGGTGTTTTTTCAGATCTCCTAGCTGTGCCGTTGAGGAACTAGAGCAAGCACACTAGTAGTTGTTTTGTTTGGAACACAACCCTGCATCCCCTCCATCAGACAATTACTGTTGTTGTTTACGCAATCCAAAAAACGGTCCATTATAAATCGCAATCAGGGTCAAGTGGACATAATTTGAAAGCTTGTTCTATTGCCAGCATGAATAGCTAAGTTATAAAATACAATTTTACAGTGGTAGGCTTTCACTATGCAATTCAGGGAAATAGATACTTTTGGTGTGTATAGAAAGAAGTTATAAGTGCATTTAGGTGCGTGTGCAATGGCACATTTTCTTCACAATAGATAAACATTGGCTCATTCTGTTCAGAACAACCCTGGGTATGACGTCATGTCATCCTGTAACTGTACATCAAACATAGTGATCATAAACGTTGACCCTGTATATGACATGAGTTTTATGATTTGGGGTTATGAAGTGCACATTTGAACTCAAGGGTGTTTGGCTTGCTTGTATGACATCAAAGCGGTATTTATTATAATCCTCAAAGTCTGTCACGTTCGTCTAATGACGGGTCAGACCAAGGCGCAGCGTGATATACGTACATGTTTATTTAAACTGAATAAACACCACGACAAAACAACAAATGAAACGAAACGTGAAGTCCAAGGTAGCACACACAACATACCTCACACGGAACAAGATCCCACAACCCACTAGTGCCAATAGGCTGCCTAAGTATGGTCCCCAATCAGAGACAACGAGCTACAGCTGCCTCTGATTGGGAACCACACCGGCCAACATAGATCTACACATAATAGATCAAAACATAGAAAACACACAACAAAGAATATACACACCCTGACTCAACATTTAAGCGTCCCCTGAGTCAGGGCGTGACAGTACCCCCCCCCCAAAGGTGCGGACTCCGACCGCACAACATAAACATAACAGGGTAGGGGCCGGGTGGGCATTCCGCCTCAGAGGCGGATCCGGCTCGGGGCGTGACGACCTCTCACTCTCCGCCTCCCTGTTGCGCCCCTGGTCTGGTCTGGACCTCGGCGCGCTGCTTCCCCTCTCCTTCCTCCCACGATACGCCAGGCCCTGTCTGGACCCTGTGTGGGAGACCCCGAACCTGGAGAGGGGCTGACGTCATCGTCTGGACAGGAGCCGCTGACCGGAGCTGGACTGGGCTGTCTTGGTGCGAGGAGCAGGAACAGGCCGGGCCGGGCTGGCGACGCACACCACTGGCTTGGTGCGAGGAGCAGGAACAGGCCGGGCCGGGCTGGCGACGAGCACCACTGGCTTGGTGCGAGGAGCAGGAACAGGCCGGGCCGGACTGTGGAGGCGGACTGGAGGTCTAGAGCGGAGAGCTGGCACAACCCGTCCTGGCTGGCTACCCACTTTCGCACTACACGTGCGGGGTGCTGGCACAGGATGCACTGGGCTGTGCACGCGCACTGGCGATACAGTTCGTAGAACTGGCGCAGGATATGCGGGACCAAGGAGGCGTTCTGGAGACCAGGAGCGTTGAGCCGGCACACCCCGTCCTGGCTGGATGCCCATCTTCGCACGGCACGTGCGTGGTGCAAGCACAGGACGTACAGGACTGTGCCGGCGCACTGGCGACACAGTACGTAGCTCCGCATAACACAGAGCTTGCCCAGTCATACGCCTCTTCGCGTGAGTACGAGGAGTTGGCTCTGCTCTAACCCTAGGCTCCGCCAACCACCCCGTGTGCCCCCCCCAAAAAAAATTTATTGGGGCTGCTTCTCGGGCTTCCTCCTCGACCGGCCTCCTCCGTGTTGCCGTTGCTCCTCTCCTGCCTGGGCATCTAACTTAGCCCATGGTCCTTTCCCCGCAAATATCTCCTCCCATGACCACAAATTGGCCACCTGTGACATGGCCATCCGCTCCGCCTGGGCACGCTGCTTGGTCCTCGTTTGGTGGGATCTTCTGTCACGTGCGTTGAATGACGGGTCAGACCAAGGCGCAGCGTGATATACGTACATGTTTATTTAAACTGAATAAACACCACGACAAAACAACAAATGAAACGAAATGTGAAGTCCAAGGTAGCACACACAACATACCTTAACAGGAACAAGATCCCACAACCCACTAGTGCCAATAGGCTGCCTAAGTATGATCCCCAATCAGAGACAACGAGCTACAGCTGCCTCTGATTGGGAACCACACCGGCCAACATAGATCTACACATAATAGATCGAAACATAGAAAACACACAACAAAGAATATACACACCCTGACTCAACATATAAGCGTCCCCTGAGTCAGGGCGTGACAAAGTCTCATCTTTCAAAACACAGAGTCCTCTTAATTTACAGCATTTCCCTCACTCAGACAACAAAACATTTGCAAAAGTTCCCCAATTAGCAGGAGGGATGGGGGAAACTTCGTCGCGCGAGATGCTCAAGTTCAGAACAGCTGTCAGTGAAAACCCAGTTTACCTCCTCTCCAGTGCCCTGCATGGCCTCCTGGGGGATGGCGTAGATCTTGTTGTGCATCTCCACACTGCGTCTCTTCCCACTCCGCACACGCACCAGCAGAACCCGGAAGTTGGTCCCTCCCAGGTCCAGGGCCAAGAAGTCACCGCGCTCTGATGAGTTCAGTGAGCACAATGAGCCAGACAATGGGGAGAGAAGCGAAGAAAGTAAGATAACCCCCAAACTGCTAAATATCATTTTAGAATGTGTTATGTACCTTGTACAACAGCAGTAGGTGTTCACATCCTAACATACATTTTGTCAGCCATGGATTTCCAACCGCTAAGCTTTTGATTGCTGGCCCATCTCTCTAACCCAGGGGTGTCAAACTAATTTTACCCCGGGGGCCGCATTCGGTCTTCAACAGTGCGTAGGGCCGCACTGAAAATGTATTACATTTCCTCGCCGTCAATAATTTGCTAAAAATAGTCCTCTATCCATCGTTTTTGGAATTTCCGATGCTCCCTGACTGTCTAGCTTTCATTTCGGTGATTATTAGCGAGCTGGACACAGTCAAGAAACTCTATGTAGGTCCATTATCATTTTTAATTCGATTTGGTTTGAGTCCTTTTAAAGTATATTGAGTTTGTGTTTTTATTTGTAACAGCTTAAGGCTTTCTTCTTCTCAGTTTCCTGCTATAGCCCTGCCAAGGACATCTGTCTATTTTCAAGTATTTTCAAGGCCCATCGGTAGCTTATGGCTTCCTCTCCTACCATACACACATGGAGAATCTCAATTGCATTTCCTTTGTCCTCCATTGGATGAGGTCAGCAGTGCCTCCCCTCTGACCTTCTAATCCAATTGGTTTTGAAAAGGGGGCGAGGAGACGACACAAGGAATCAAGAAAATGCCATTGAGATTATCCCACAGATACCACCCCTCTCCCTCCATCTCCTCCTCGCCTGACCCTGTACCTGTGCCATCGGGCGTGGAGCGGACAAAGGTGGGCAGCATCTTGACGGTGGCCTGGTCATGACTCTCCTTGGCCAGGCCTCTGTTCATCTCCTCTCCCATCCTCCTCTTCACCTCCAGCAGCTGCTCCTGGCTCAGACGCAGAGTGTCCAGGATACGCTGCCGCCCGGCATGCTGGATAGCCAGCCGGAACGCCACTGCTGTCACCATGGCCGCTCCCTTCCCACTTCCATCCTCCGAGCGCAAGAAACGCACGTCGCAATCCGGCACCAACCGCCGCAACATCTTGTGGAGCCGCCGCGCAAACCTGGGAGAGGAGAGGCACAACTTTATTAATAGGTTTATTAGCTATTAGTAAACTGTTTGTAAATAACTAAATATATTTGATCATGTTTCAGTTATTAGTGAATACATGTATGTATAAACCACTTCTTACTTGTTCCTGTAATTTTAACTGGCACTTGAGATTTAAGGGTCGACTCCATTGTAATTCCCCTCATCCACTGTGTAATTTAGTTAAGTCTATTCTAGGAGAATTGCTCTGAGTAGTCATGCTCTCAGGAATGTGTAGATTGCAACTCCGGGAGGTGTAGATTGTTGTCAAGTTGAGTTGGAATTTATTAAAAATGAAACTTGACAATGCCCATAGCATTTCATTTTTTATGTCCTGAAATGACTGGAGCTGAAGTGTATTCGAGCCTTGCCTCTTTCGAATCAGAGTGCGAAGTCTACTTCCTCACTCGTCTTTAATATATAGGGTAACAGTCCCTTACATGCTCTGAGTGGTGTGAAACTCAGGGAGGTGTAGATTGTTTGAGTATCAAGTTGAGTCGGAATGTATTAAAATAAAACTTGACAATGTACAATAGCATTTCATTTTTTGAGTCATGACCACATAGGCAAATTACAGTTGGCTTGGATCACGTTGTCAGCAATGGAATAATTATACGGACAGACAAAGTAGGCCAACTAAACAACACCAAGTAGACAGGCAAAAACAACCATATGGCCTCAGCAAAGATTATGATTCATACACAACGTTTGGAGAAGGGGAGACTTGTGCCCTGAGACGAGCGACTGTGAGTGCGTGAAACAGAGCAACACGGGTGTCTGTCTGGAGAAATGTGAGCAGAGGGAGAGCAGCTTGTTCTAATCCAATCGTTGCAGCAGGTTCAATTGATATCCCGCCTGTTTCTCTACAGACAGAAGAATTACCCAACAGTTGTTAAGAGCACACAGCGCTTCACACTGTTTGAGTAAAAGAGAGATGCGTGCTGGCAGCTGAAAATAAATTTTTTCCGATCACGGATAATTACAAAAAATACTTAATCGTATTCGGAATATTCTCCACCCCCATTACGATACTCACTTTATTTGAGTACTCGGCACACCCCTAATATATATATATATTATTTCAATATCAGGACATTGTAAGGTCCATTATCCCTCTGAAGAGTATTAATTAGGGTGTTTGAGAAGGTTTGAATCCTAAGCAACCTGCCTACACGTTGTTTAAAGTACAATAGACCAACATAGCTACTTTAGTAGGTCAAAGCTGTGTGCTAGAAAACCTTGGTTGAGCATGGGTGAAGTAGGCATTGTGGTTCTCGTGAATTTCCTTTCTTTTTCGTCTTCAAACCAATGCCTACTTCTCACTTAAAACAGTTTTCTGTTTCTAATTTCCATGGTTTTTACACCGGAAGTTGATTACACAAAATTATAATACATCACAACCTCTCCCTTGACTACTGTCACATTAGGTGGCTCGGAGAGTGAGGAATGAAGTGGGGCAAACTGCTCCATCTCCTGTGCCAGCAGAGGGCCTGTGCTGCTGCTCCCCCTGACATCATAGTCATCCACCTCGGTCAAATCGACTTGGGACACACAAAGGGGACAGCCCTGGTGCGTCAGATGCGAGCTGATTTGGAGGTAGTTGTCACGACTTCCGCCGAGGCTGCCTCCCCTCCTTGTTCGGGCAGGTTTCGGCATTCGTCGTCACCGGCTTACTAGCAACTGCCGCTCCATATCTCATCATTCCATTTGTCTTGTCTTGTCTTGTCAATTACACACACCTGGTTCATATCCCCTCATTAGTCTGCCCCCTTGTCCTTGTGGGTGATTGTTTTATGTGAGTTGAGTGTAGCTTGGTGGAGCTACTCGTACCTTGTATTGCCGGAGTAGATTGTTCCCCTGTGCCTGTATTTTGTTGGAGCTACTCGTACCTTGTATTGCCGGGGTAGATTGTTCCCCTGTGCCTGTATTTTGTTGGAGCTACCCGTTCCTTGTATTGCCGGGGTAGATTGTTCCCCTGTGCCTGTATTTTGTTGTCGCAATCCAGCGCAACTGTGTACGACGGAATAAACTCTGTATTCGGTGATTTACCCTCCTGCGCCTGACTCCTTCTAATCACACTCATCACAGTAGTCATCCGAATGTTCCTCAGGACAACGGTGGTCTACTCTGACATCGCGCAGCGGCAGAGTTGGATGTTCCAGTGGGAGGAGGACATCAACAAGCGCATAGAGATGGCCCGGTGCTATGTCAACCGGCTTGTGTTTGCATTTCTCTGTGAAAGGCGCATGCCCACAATCCGCCACTCTGCCATAAAGCACTGTGTCACTGGGCAGTAACATAGGTATGGCGTGCATCACACGGATGAGGGTAACGACCTCCTCCTTGAGAGTCAGAGCTGGTCTCTCCTCTGTTCTAGCAAGACGCACACAGTAGTACACAGCACCACACTCACTGCACCAAAGGCTCTTTTAAGAGCAACCTAATAAATGAAAATAAGTGTGTGTGTGTCGGGAAAGGGCTGTCAAACTATAAACTAAATAATGGTAAAGATGTATCCTACAGGAGGCGAACCCACAATCTTCAGATCCACAGGCGGTATCTAACCATTACACTACGAACCCTGTTCTTCAAACATTGACTTCGACAGACCATTTAAATTAACAGTCTCGATGCGTTCGTTTTAAAATAAAAAAAAATATTCATTCAGTATTGATTGAACATTTATTTATCTTGCTTGGTTAAAATACAATAGTCTAAAACAGTCGATTTGTTGAAAACCAACTAATTTAATCACGTAGCTAACCAGGTTTGCAAGCATGTAATTTCCTTTTGACTGTGCACAGGTCACACAACTGAAGCAAAAGCAGGGAGGGGGTTCGATTAATCTGGGGTACACCGGGCTATGGCTATGGCCCGTTAAAAAAAAGATGTCCTCATCAATCTACACACAATACCCCATAATAACTAAGCGAAAACAGGTTCTTAGAAATGTTTGCAAATTTCTTACAATGAAAAACAGATACCTTATTTACATACAGTACCAGTCAAAAGTTTGGACAAACCTACTCATTCAAAGGTTTTTCTTTATTTTTTACTATTTTCTACATAGTAGAATAATAGTGAAGACATCAAAACTACGTCATCTCCCGTCTGGATTACTGCAACTCGCTGTTGGCTGGGCTCCCTGCCTGTGCCATTAAACCCCTACAACTCATCCAGAATGCCGCAGCCCGTCTGGTGTTCAACCTTCCCAAGTTCTCTCACGTCACCCCGCTCCTCTGCACACTCCACTGGCTTCCAGTTGAAGCTCGCATCTGTTACAAGACCATGGTGCTTGCCTATGGAGCTGTGAGGGGATCGGCACCTCTGTACCTTCAGGCTCTGATCAGTCCCTACATCCAAACGAGGGCATTGCGTTCATCCACCTCTGGCCTGCTGGCTCCCCTTCCTCTGCGGAAGCATAGTTCCCGCTCAGCCCAGTCAAAACTGTTCGCTGCTCTGGCACCCCAATGGTGGAACAAGCTCCCTCACGACGCCAGGACAGCGGAGTCACTCACCACCTTCCGGAGACATTTGAAACCCCACCTCTTTAAGGAATACCTGGGATAGGATAAAGTAATCCTTCTACCCCCCCCCCCCCCCCCCCCCAAAAAAAAAAAAAAAAAAAAAAGATATTGTAAAGTGGTTATCCCACTGGCTATAGGGTGAATGCACCTATTTGTAAGTCGCTCTGGATAAGAGCGTCTGCTAAATGACGTAAATGTAAATAACGCATATGGAATCATGTAGTAACCAAAAAAGTGTTCAATAAATCAAGAAATCTTTTATATTTGAGATTCTTCAAAGAGCCACCCTTTGCCTTGATGACAGCTTTGCACACTCTTGGCATTCTCTCAACCAGCTTCACGAGGTAGTCACCTGGAATGCATTTCAATTCACAGGTGTGCCTTCTTAAAAGTTAATTTGTGGAATTTCTTTCCTTCTTAATGTGTTTGAGCAAATCAGTTGTGTTTTGACAAGGTAGGGGGGTTATACAGAAGAAGTCCATATTATGGCAATAACAGCTCAAATAAGCAAAGAGAAACGACAGTCCATCATTACTTTAAGACATGAAGGACAGTCATATGGAACATTTCAAGAATTGTGAACGTTTCTTCAAGTGCAGTAGCAAAAACAATCAAGGGCTATGATGAAACTGGCTCTCATGAGGAGCGCCACAGGAATGGAAGACCCAGAGTTACCTCTGCTGCAGAGGATAAGTTCATTAGTTCAAGGCAATTTGAAGAATCTCAAATATAAAATATATTTGGATTTGTTTAACACTTTTTTAGTTACCACATGATTCCATATGTGTTATTTCATAGTTTTGATATCTTCACTATTATTCTACAATGTAAAAAATAGTAAAGATAAAGAAAAACCCTTGAATGTGTAGGTGTGTCCAAACTTTTGACTGGTAGTGTAAGTATTCATACCCTTTGCTGTGAAATTCAATTGATTGGACATGATTTGGAAAGGCACACACCTGTCTATATAAGGTCCCACAGTTGACAGTGCATGTCAGAGCAAAAACCAAGCCATGAGGTCAAAGGAATTGTCCGTAGAGCTCCGAGACAGGATTGTGTCGAGGCACAGATCTGGGGAAGGGTACCAAAACATTTCTGCAGCATTGAAGGCCCCCAAGAACACAGTGGCCTCCATCATTCTTAAATGGAAGAAGTTTGGAACCACCAAGACTCTTCCTAGAGCTGGCCGCCCGGCCAAACTGGGCAATCAGGGGAGAAGGGCCTTGGTCAGGGAGGTGACCAAGAACCCGATGGTCACTCTGACAGAGCTCCAGAGTTCCTCTCTGCAGCACTCCACCAATCAGGCCTTTTATGGTAGAGTGGCCAGACGGAAGCCACTCCTCAGTAAAAGGCACATGACAGCCCGCTTGGAGTTTGCCAAAAGGCACCTAAAGGACTCTCAGACCATGAGAAACAAGATTATCTGGTCTGATCAAACCAAGATTGAACTCTTTGGCCTGAACGCCAAGTGTCATGTCTGGAGGAAACCTGGCACTATCATCGGCACCCGGGGAGCAGTTTCTCAGGGGCAGAACGACATTTACCTTGTCGGCGATACGATCCAGCAACCTTCCAGTTAGTGGCACAACGCTCCTACCCACCAGGCTACCTTACTAGTAATAAAGGATTATTGTTGAAGAAACATTACAAAGCATGTTCATCCGTTTTTTGTGTTTTGTTGGTGTAATTTTAGCAACAACAAAACAATTTTGGAAGGTAAAAAATCTGAGTGGCTGGTAGATTTTTAAATCTACCTGCCACAGTGGTTGGTGGACCAAACTTTTTTTAGGCCCTGGGCTCAAGGAAAGAAATTATAAAACCTATATTTTGGAGTTATTTTCATTAAATAAACACACACTGTGATTTATTAGACATACAGTGATGATTTAAATGCTTAATTAAATCAAATTGTATTTGTCACATGCGCCGAATACAACAGGTGTAGACCTTACAGTGAAATGCTTACTTACAAGCCCTTAACCAACAATGCAGTTTTAAGAAAAATAAGTGTTAAATAAAAAATATATAAAAAAAATATATATATAATAATTAAAGAGCAGCAGTAAAATTACAGTAGCGAGGCTATATACAGTGGGTACCGGTACAGAGTCAATGTGCGAGGGCACAGGTTAGTTGAGGTAATTGAGGTAATATGTACATGTCGATAGAGTTGAAGTGACTATGCATAGATAATAAACAGAGAGTAGCAGCAGTGTAAAAGAGGGGGTGGGTGGGTGGGGGGTACGACGACAATACAAATAGTCCGGGTAGCCATGATTAGCTGTTCAGGAGTCTTATGGCTTGGGGGTAGAAACTGTTAAGAAGCCTTTTGGACCTAGACTTGGCGCTCCGGTACCGCTTGCCGTGCGGTAGCAGAGAGAACAGTCTATGACTAGGGTGGCTGGAGTCTTTGACAATTTTGACTGCATGGGGGCTTAAAGATTGGAGGGTCAGTTCCACTGTAATTACACTGTGCAGTCTAGTTGAGTTAATTCTAATGTCATAGAAGGAAGAGCACTAGTGCCTCAGTGTAGATTATCGGAGTGCCATGTCAAGTGCAACACTTCATCTGTTCTATCCTCAATTGACGGGAGCTGTAATGACAGCGTCATTGACCCCAACTATGTTAGAGATAACCCCAGAGTACAGTATCTCCATGCACTCACATGCACTAATACACACGCAAGCACTCACACATGCACGCACTCAACCCCCCCCCCCCCACTCACTGTGGGTGGTTCTTGTAGACAGAGCCGTCCACTCCTATTGTTGTCCTAAGCCTCTCTGCAGCCTTGTTGTCTCTGATCTGTCTCAACACAGCGGCCAGGGTGGCAGCACATAGGTGGGCGGCCCGGGTCGACACCACCTGACACACCCTCTGAGTGGCCACGCAGTCCTCCACAGAGGGGTCCAGGCCCAGCCCCCTCAGCATCTTCTCTGCACTCACCAGACCCTCCTTGTCTCTGTCAGGAAAAGAACACCACCTCAGTTACATACCGGCTTATAAAGTATAACATTAAGTTTGGTATTTGTATGAATTACATTTACTACCTATCATCATCATCATCATCATCATCATCATAGACCATGCTATATCAAGATAGGCCCACAGTTTCACACACATATTGTACACACACACAAACTACTAACTTGACGTTCTCGATGGCGGAGACAAAGCTGGTCTGGAGGTATCCATTGGTGACGAGGTCAGGGGTGGTGTGACCCTGAAACACCAGGTCCTCCTTGGCCATCTTCACTAGGATCAGACGCACCAGCTCCCCCATGTACATCCCACTGATCATCTTCTCAAACCTACACACACACACACACACACACACACACACACACACACACACACACACACACACACACACACACACACACACACACACACATTTACAAGAATACCTGGCTAGCTGTGAGTAAATGCTGAGGGTGATACTTAACAACAAGCTGAAAATAACACTTTCAACACAAAGCCGGATCTATATGGCAGCTGGAGGTTGATATATTTTCCAGGTGGGATTGGGCAACAGATAGAGAGGACTAGTGTAATAGAAAGTATAGTAGAAGTAGAGGGCGGGCCATGTGTCTGTCTGTCACTCACAGCTGTTTGCCGGGGTTGAGGGAGCCGGCATCGATCTCCTGGTCAAAGTCTGTACGAAGGTCATCCAGAGCGCCGTCGTCCCCGAACGCCCCCCACTCCATGTTAACACACATCCTCCCCTCGTCCCCCTCCACCAGCTCCAGGTGACGCATCTCCTCCATGTAGCAGGCGTTGGTGCCAGTGCCTGGAGGGCAGCAACAGACAAACAACTTGGTCATACTGTACTTCTTACTTACTTACCAAGGCCTCATCACGCCATTGCGGCATGTGAGGCCTCAACAAGGCCCCCCTTCTATCTCTTCCTGTCCTGAGCTATTTTAGACGCCTCTTTCCAGGCCCAGGTGAGCCCTTCAGTAGACTGGTCTTGAGCTCGGCTCCATACTGTAATTCAGGGATTCTCTCAAATCTGGAAACTAGCAGTACTCCATCCAGCCCTCCAGGCTTGGTTACAATAGAGTATCCCTACTGTACTTGTGCCAGCTACTTTTTTTTGGGATGATCAGCAAAATAATGTTTATTTTGTTGAACAATAGACATGACATGCAATTTTTTTTTTTTCAAAGAGTGTTTTAAATGAAATAATTTGTATATTGAGAATGTGTGACTAATCTGATGACGTAAATTGTTTTTCATTTCTAGACTGCATATAGGGACATTCCCTAAACAACCCACACTTCAACATCAAATTTCTAGGTTTATAATTGTACTACATGTACAGACACGTTTCAATGCTAAGCTTTTCTCACCCTAACACCAAAGCACACTTGAACATGTCACAATAAGCCCAGAGTAGTTCCATTATTTCCGTACTGATTTGAGTCCTACTGATTTATGTATGGACTGTGTTCCCAATGGAGGCCTTCAGTGTTCTATATGCAATTTCACTCCCCTACATATTTATTTGGACAGTGAAGCTAAAACTTTTAATTTGGCTCTATACCCCAGCATTTTGGATTTGAGATCAAATGTTTTAAACAGAATGTCACCTTTGTTTTATAGGGTAACTTCATACATGTCTGTTTTACCGTTTAGAAATGAATGCACTTGATGTATCTAGTCCCCATTTGAAGGTGTCATAAGTATATGGACAAATTCACTTATAGTGTATTCAATTTAGTCAAAAGTGTAGTATTTAGTCCCATACTCCTAGCATGCAATGACATCAAGCTTGTGACTGTCACGACTTCCTCCGAAGCTGCCTCCTCTCCTTGTTCGGGCAGGCTTTGGCGTTCATCATCACCGGCCTTCTAGCCACTGCCACTCCGCATCTCATCATTCCATTTGTTTTGTCTTGTCTATTACACACACCTGGTTCACATCCCCTCATCAGTACCTGTATAAGTGTTCCCTCTGCCCACTTGTCTTTGTGTGGGATTGTTTATTGTGAGGATCGTGAAGCTCGGTGGAGCTCCTTGTATTTTGTATTCGCCAGGTTATTTTCCCTGTGTGCCTTGTTTGTTCCAGTGCGCCTGTTTTGCACACTGGACTGTTTTGACGCTTTACTGCGTACTCTGTATTCCGGAATAAATCCTGTTATTCTGTGATTTACCCTCCTGCGCCTGACTCCTTCAAATCACTCATCACAGGAGAGGAGCACATGCCTGGAGTCGTGGCACGGGTCCGGGAGCATTCGACGATGCTAGCCAGCTTGGGAGAAGCGATGGATCGGGTTCTCCAGGTCGTCCAACGCCTGGAGAGGAGGGACCCGATCTGTCGGGACCAGCTGGGCGACCGGATCCAGCCACCCACACCCCAGCACCCAGAGGGATCCATATATCCCGACCACGGGATTTCGACGGGACAGCCGCTCTCTGCCAGGGATTCCTCCTACAACTGAAGCTATATTATTTGAACATCAGCCCGGCCCCATCGGAGAGGGAGAAGGTGTCCAACCTCGTCTCCTGCCTCTCGGGGAAAGCCCTGGAGTGGGCCAATGCGGTCTGGAGTGAAGGAGGAGCCGCGTTAGACAACTACGGGGAGTTTGCTCGCCTCTTTCGGGCTGTCTTCGATCACCCGCCCGATGGTAGAGAGGCAGGCGAGTGGCTGGTCCACCTGAGGCAGGGGACGAGGACCGCGCAGGACTTCTTCCTGGAGTTTCGGACTCTAGCGGCTGGGTCCGGGTGGAACGAGCGGGCCCTCATCGACCACTTCCGGTGCCATCTACGGGAGGATGTCCAAAGGGAGCTAGCCTGCCGGGAGACCATGTTGTCCTTCACTCAACTGGTGGACATGGCCATCCGGTTGGACAACCTGCTGGCTGCCAGAGGACGTCCTGGAGGGGGCCTGCCCAAACTTTATGGACAGGTCATTTGCACATAGTCTAGGCATAGTGGAGGCACTGCCTCGAGGGGGCGAAACACCCTTTCCTCATCAGGACGGACCACCGTAACCTGGAGTAAATCCGGGCAGCGAGGAGGCTGAACCCTCGCCAGACCAGGTGGGCCCTATTCTTCACCCGGTTTGATTTTACACTATCCTACATCCCGGGTACGATGAACGTGAAGGCCGACGCACTGTCAAGGCTGTACGACACAGAGGAGAGGCCCATAGACAACACCCCCATACTCCCGGCCTCCTGCATTGTGGCACTGGTAGTATGGGCGATGGACGCAGACATAGAGCGGGCGTTACGCACAGAGCCATCTCCACCTCAGTGTCCAGCTGGGCTGCAGTACGTGCCTGCTCTTGTCCGTGACTGTCTGATCTATAGGGCACACACGTCCCCCTCCTCTGGTCACCCAGGTATCAGTCGTACAGTGCGCTGCCTGACCGGAAAGTACTGGTGGCCTACCTTGACTAACAACGTGAGGGTGTATGTCTCCTCCTGCTCGGTGTGCGCCCAGAGTAAGGCACCTAGGCACCTCCCAGCGGGTAAGTTACAGCCCTTACCAGTTCCACAACGGCCATGGTCCCACTTGAGTATTGATTTCCTTACCCTTTCTCAAGGTAACACCACCATCCTTGTCGTTGTGGACCGCTTTTCCAAAGCCTGCCGCCTCCTTCCTCTGCCCGGTCTCCCCACGGCCCTGCAGACTGCGGAGGCCCTGTTTACACACGTCTTCCAGCACTACAGGGTACCAGAGGACATAGTGTCTGACCGGGGTCCCCAGTTCACATCCAAGGTCTGGAAGGCGTTCATGGAACTTCTGGGGGTCTCGGTCAGCCTGACCTCTGGTTTTCACCCCGAGTCTAATGGGCAGGTGGAACGGGTAAATCAGGATGTGGGTAGGTTCCTGCTGTCCTACTGCCAGGACCGGCCGGGGGAGTGGTCGGTGTTCTTGCCATGGGCCGAATATGCCCACAACTCTCTCCGTCATTCCTCCACTAACCTAACAGCATTTCAATGTGTTTTAGGTTATCAGCCGGTTTTGGCACCGTGGCATCAGAGGCAGATCGAGGCTCCTGCGGTGGATAACTGGTTTAGGCGCATGGAGGAGACGTGGAACGCTGCTCACGTCCACCTCCAACGCGCCGTGTGTCGCCAGAAGGCCAACGCTGACCACCACCGCAGTGAGGCCCCGGTCTTCGTACCTGATCGGGTCTCGCTCTCGACCCGGAATCTGCCCCTCCGCCTGCCCTGCCGGAAGCTGAGCCCGCGGTTCTTGACTGGCCTGCACAGAGCCCTAACCTCAACCCAATCGAACACCTTTGGGATGAATTGGAACGCCGACTGCGAGCCAGGCCTAATCACCCAACATCAGTGCCTGACCTAACTAATGCTCTTGTGGCTGAATGGAAGCAAGTCCACGCAGCAATGTTCCAACATCTAGTGGAAAGCCTTCCCAGAAGAGTGGAGGCTGTTATAGCAGCAAAGAGTGGACCAACTCCATATTAATGCCCATGATTTTGGAATGAGATGTTCGACGAGCAGGTGTCCACATACTTCTGGCCATGTAGTGTATGATGGTATCACCCACTTTTCGCTAGCCAATTTCTTTAAAAAATAAATAATAATAATAATACATACGCTAAAACCCCTGTTGGGCTATAGGTCATTTTCAATAAATTGTCACAATAAGGTGTAGAAAGTTCGATTTGCCTGCTGGGGGGCAAAGACACCCACAGCTCCGCAAAAACCATTGACAACTGCATGCCGTTTTCAAGGGATTGTTAAATAAATGTGAACTACAGTATTTGGTTGTAATATCGTCACCTCTTGAAGAGCATAGTGAGACATACAAATTTCGGATTATTCCATGCAAAACAATTGTACACGTTTAGTTCTATCATCAGAGTTATACAGCAAGTAACTGCATGCTTTTCATGATCAGTAAACATCAACTGATCATGTAATTTCAGATACGTATGGTAGCCTCACAATATACAGTTCAAGTCGGAAGTTTACATACACCACTTTATTTTAAGAATGTGACATGTCAGAATAATAGTAGATAGTGATTTATTTCAGCTTTTATTTATTTCATCACATTCCCAGTGGGTCAGAAGTTTACATACACTCAATTAGTATTTGGTAGCATTGCCTTTAAATTGTTTAACTTGGGTCAAACGTTTCGGGTAGTCTTCCACAAGCTTCCCACAATAAGTTGGGTGAATTTTGGCCCATTCCTCCTGACAGAGCTGGTGTAACTGAGTCAGGTTTGTAGGCCTCCTTGCTCGCACACGCTTTTTCAGTTCTGTCCACACATTTTCTATAGGATTGAGGTCAGGGCTTTGTGATGGCCACTCCAATACATTGACTTTGTTGTCCTTAAGCCATTTTGCCACAACTTTGGAAGTATGCTTGGGGTCATTGTCCATTTGGAAGACCCATTTGCGACCAAGCTTTAACTTCCTGACTGATGTCTTGAGATGTTGCTTCAATATATCCACATAATTTTCCTTCCTCATGATGCCAACTATTTTGTGAAGTGCACCAGTCCCTCCTGCAGCAAAGCACCCCTCAGCATGATGCTGCCACCCCCGTGCTTCAAGGTTGGAATGGTGTTCTTCGGCTTGCAAGCAGCCCCCCTTTTCCTCCAAACATAATGATGGTCATTATGGCCAAACAGTTCAATTTTTTTTTCATCAGACCAGAGCACATTTCTCCAAAAAGTATGATCTTTGTCCCCATGTGCAGTTGCAAACCGTAGTCTGGCTTTTTTATGGCGGTTTTGGAGCAGTGGCTTCTTCCTTGCTGAGCGGCCTTTCAGGTAATGTCGATATAGGACTCGTTTTACTGTAGATACTTTTGTACCTGTTTCCTCCAGCATCTTCACAA